CATTTTCATTAAACTGGGCTGTAGTGTGACGCTATGAAAATGAAAAGAAGAAGAAATATAAAAAATGTTTAATACAATAATGATCAGAAACCTTTAAAATTTTTTTTCCCCCTCTGTGAACACGAAGTTTGTAGCTATGGAAACTACTTATGAGAAAGCTAAAAAAAAATGTCAGCAAATATAGTCAGAGAATGATCTGGATATATGAAAGTCCTAACAATGCTAGAGAACTAGAGACACAGGGTGAAAGAAAAGTGTAAATTGAAGATGACAACACTTGAGCATCTGACAACACATTCTCCTCTGACAGGCCAAATTCATTTTCATTGCCACGGCACTGAAGTCAATGAATTGCAACTGGAATGAGTTTGACACTTTATATTGCTTTTGATAAAACCATTATAAAAAGCGTATTTCAACCTTTAAAAAAGTATTTTAAAAGCGTATTCTCTGCAATCAGTGAATTTTATGTGCATATTGGCAGAGATAGTCAGTCTTATATCAAGGTAGCACATCTCTCACACATTCTGTTCTTCAGCCATTCACCCGACCAAGGTGGGCAGTTCTGGTGACTTTAATTTTATCCCAATCTGTATTTTTGTGTGGAAGTTATGATCTCAGTTAAAATGATTACTCCATGGTTTTGTCAGTGAACACGGTGCTCACTAACTCTACCTGGAGTAACACACTAGCTGGAAACGGCTCCAAGGACATGCTATGGTCTGTCAGGTCAATGAGCAAATTAAATCAGATTTATTCAGTACACGGAGCTTCCTTTGGTGCTGTTTCAGTCTGTATTGTTAATTGAGCTGCCTTACATGTACACATTGTGATTACATGCTGCAGTCTGTAATCAGAAAACACAGGGAAGAAAACCTGAAGTTGATTTCTGAACATCCGCTGTACTGTGCAAAGAATAAACCAACATCAACAAATGCTCAGGAAATTTATATTGTGTATGAAATATCCTGCTAAACTCTGCCCAGAGAAAGCTATGGCAATTTAGCTTAAATTAATTAGCTTAAAAGAATTAATAGCTTAAAAGAATGGGCAAATGTTGCCCTTTTAGCCATCCTTGATAGGCTCTTTTAAGCACCCTTGAACAACCATCAAGGCTCTTGCTCCTGACTACCCCTTTCCTCTTTGGGGGTTGCCCACATGAAGAGTTTCAGCCTGGACTGATGTGTGGTTAACGCAGCTTTTATCTGTCACGGGGTGGAAAATACCAATAAAAGGCATCACAATGAAGTGTTAAAGAGTATAAGCAGAGCTGAGCTAATCACAGTGAAAGGCATTTCCAGTTGGGCTCTAAGCTGATGACAGAGAGGATGAATTCCCCTCACGCTGGAGAGAAGCACTTGTCCAAGGAGGGCAGTTGCCCTCGGCCCGGCTTTCCCAGCTCAGGAGAAAGTCAGACTTTCAACCAAATTTTACAGCCAAGTAATTTTGCTCCTCCTTCCTGATGATACCCACACAACTTCTATGGGGCCGCCCTGCTCCTCATCCCCACAGGAAGCATCTTCCCCTTCTGTGATCACCTGCTTTCACATCTTCATGCATAAACTAGAGCTTGAAAAACCATCCAAGACATATTTGCAATGAATCACCACTCCCTAAGTCCAGCATCAGACACAGAAATCTGGACTGGCCCCTGTTTGGGAGAAGTCCAGGCTAGCTACAAGGAAAACACAAGACTTCTTATCTGCCAACTGCTTTAAAACTAAAACATTGGATTAAATAAATGTAAATTAAGTCATGTAATAAAAATACTAGCAAACATAATAAACTGAAGATACAACATTTTGGAGGCGGAGCTCCAGCAATCTGATCGGTGACCGTGAGACACAGTTTGCCCTCATCAGCTTTGCTGACCTGGACTATTTATTTCCCTGCCTTCCCTCCCACCCCAGCACGAGGCTGTCACAGACAGCTCTGGCAGCAGCCACCCGCTGACACGTGTTTGTCACTCAGACCTTGCAGGGCTTTTTCATGCTTGCCACCGAGATGACTTAGTGTGTTCACTACTGGTGATGCAGGAGCAGCCAGCTCCCAGGATGTTTCTCCCTGGGGAAGCCATTCCTGACAGCTTCATAGACAAGGTCTCAATGACGCAGAGGGCGGCGGCTTTGCCAGAGCTGTGGCTGGGGAGTTCCTGGGATGGGAAGCCGGATCATCTCCTGAGACGTCACTCCAACACCACAGCAACGGGTTTAGGGTGCTCATTCACCACCTTCTGCTCATACAACTCTGCAATTCCCAGGAAGGACAATTTATCTACCTTCTTATAACTATTTTACAAAATGCAAAGCAGTTGCAGCAATAAATCTCGTTTCTGATTTTCCCTTATCTGACCATGCCAAAGCAAGAGGCCCATAAGCATCCATTGTGTTCCTGTATTCCTGCCCAGGATCCTGCCTCTACCATCAGAAACACTAGGCAGGAGAAGACACCCTCCTGCAAGCCCTCTGCCCAAACTTCAAAGTGAACAGCAGCTCTGCAGAATGCACAGAGAGTGTCAAAGCTCAGCACAAAATGACAAATTGGACATACAGGAACAACACACATTTCAACAAGACTTAACCCCCCCCCCCCGAAAATGATCTATATTAAGGTCTTATCCATACAACAAGCTTCAAAACATGACTGGACTGTAATGGGCACTTTATAATCCTCTGCTGCCTGAGAAGACATTAACCTACACCGACAGAAAATATCTGCAGCCATTTAGAGACAGAGTTTAATACTGAACTTGCTTTCACCTTGTGACTCAAATATCCACAGCCAAAGCTACAGCTAGGAGAAGGCTCGTCACTCCTAAAAACACATCCAGTCTCTTTCTGCTGGCAAACAAGATTTTCCTGGATTTAGCCAAGTTTCTGCCATCCACTAAATGCTTTAAAACACCTTAACATATTTGTAACCTCAGCTTATCCCCTCGTGGGTAAATGTGAACACTCCTCCTCAGCACAGTTCAAACATCTACAAACTGCCACACCTTCCATTTTTAATCCGTACCCTTCCACATGTCTTACCTTGGCTTCTACTTTTAAAATACAGTTTAACAGGAAGAAAACCTCTCAGGCTATTTGGAAAAGAAAAAGGGGAAATAAATAAAAAAAGAAGACAATTTTACAGGTCCTACTCCAGCTAAACCTTTCAGGGCCTTCAATGAGAAGATAATCTTTCTGTGATTATGGCCAAACCCTCTCGTTGCTTGGCAACACATAATTAAGGAATATGTTTTCAGATCCGCTTTGCAAGCTGGCCATTATCAGATGAAATTACTGGAGCAACAAATGTCATCCTCATGCAAATGAGCTGGTAGTGGGCAAAAAAAAAAGAGAGGGTTGTGTAGCAAGAAAGAGCTCAACAGCACAGAAATGCTGCTGGCTTCGTCTTGCTGCTCATCGGTAAATCTGGTAAAGGGAAGGGACGATTTGAGATTTTTAGAGAACAGGGTTTGCGGTTTATATACAAGACACAGGGAAGGAGGGATCTGTTCCCTGTGGTGGAGGAGGTTGCTCCCAAGCCCTGTGCTGTGGAGGTCCTTCACCCCAGAGCTTTCACTGCATCGGTATCGACCTCTCAATCAGACACACTGCAAATAAATGAACATATTTGTGTTCCCCACATTATGCCAGTTTGCCTTTTTTTCTGCATTTATTTAAAAATACTGCCTGGATGTACTGCTTTCCCATCTGATCCATGTCAACACAGAACATGTTGCCTAATATTGAAGCATTTTTTAGAAATCAATACGTTACACCCGCTACATAAAGGATGCATCAGCGTGAAAGAGCCGGCACCTACTTCCTAACTGTGTAATTATGGTGCGGCAGGGAAAGGGGTGCGCCAAGTGTCTGCATTTTGACAACTTTATCATTTCCACTCACAAAATCATTCTTTATTTAGATTCCTGTGGAATGGCATCACCGATTTGGCACCGTCTTGATGCCTATAAATGGTATCCTCTTATTAAAGCTTTGTGTGTGTGTGTGCTGGTAGGGCACATTGTTCAGGGCTTCTTTGCATGGGGGTTCAGCTGGGCTGCACAGGGAGAAAATTCCCTGCTCACGGAGTCACTACCAGGAAAAACGTTTCAAGGGGTTTTTTTCCACCTTTTTTTCAAACAAGTCAAGCCACAAATGAGTGGATTTGCTGAGTTTCTTTATACTTAGCAGGGTGGTTTTGGAGGTTAGTTTCTGTCAGGCTCTGAGTGTTATCATCAATGTACATCTCCAAAACGGAGGAGCAGAGCCTGCTCGGATTATACAGCTTTCCATCTGAGCAGCCAAGAGCCTGAACGCTTCTACGAGGGGAAGGGAGCCACCATTCATTTTTATTGTTCCAGTGCTTAACGACAGGCTTTTAGTTTTAAGCACAGCCCTATTACTTTAACAGCTCTATCGCTTCACTTACAGGCATCTCGAGAAGGAAATCAAGGGGTTTATTTTGTATGCCTGATAAAACAGCAAATTAATAATAAGAAGAAAAGCCTTAGGTAATGGCCAAAGGTAAGTCGATTCTCAAATAACACCATTAGCTATCTGATGAATTTAGTCAAAACAATGCCAACCATTTCCTCGGAGGAACACATTTGCGCCTGATAACAGCGGTAAAAAGTCAATCTGCAGCAAACCCTGTAGTCCTAATTGCTCAGCCAGCGCACTATCTAATCTCCTGTTCTCTACAAACAACGGGAACGGCAAGATTAACCCTGGAAGCATTATCTGAGATACCGCTCAGGTTTAACTGAAGTTGGCTAAACAAATAAAATATTTGGAATTTAACCACAGAGTGAGAACCAGTATCTTTAGCTCTGCATGGCCAGCACAGCCCTGCACAGAAATCCCCTTTGCCTCCTTCTCTAAGTAGGAAAGGGTGTAATATTTAGGCATGAAACGCCAAGATATCTGACTGTGGGTTTTTTTGAGGGATAAATTAAGCAACAACAAGGTGGTTGTAAACTACTACATGGACTAAGACCCTTCAGTAATTACTTGGTTCAGGTGATGCCATGGTGGAGACGATGACGGGGGGCCCCGTGCGCCTGCTGAGCTTCGGGTACGGGGAGACCTGAGCAGGGAAGGTGGGTCCGGTGGGTGCCAGGCCACCATCCCCCGGTGCTCCCGGCCGGCGGAGGAGTTGGGGGCTGCTGTGAGGGCTGGGTGCCGGTGATGCCGCCGCCACCGTCCGCTCCCTCTTCATCAACTCCATGGGCACGGTGTAGGTGGTGGGATACGCTGTTTTGGGGCTGGGGTGTGGGTTGGTCGCGGTCATGGCCATGCCGGCTGGAGCAGAGTAGGCAGAGGTCGGACGCGTGCTGCAAGGCAGGGGCGTGTTGTATCCTGAACCAGGGAGGAAGTGTGGCCCCGGAGGAGCCCCCACAGGGGCTGGGTAGGTGGTGGTCTCCAGCAGGTGCTGGGTCGGGGCGCTGGATGGCCGACGGTGCATCTCGACTCCTCTCGGGGAGAGTGGCTGCAGGGGGGGTGGGTGCTGAGAGGCAGCGGGGCCGTCCGTGGTGGGTCCCGCCATGAGGGGTGCCCCGTAGTCCCCTGGGAGCTCGCTGCGGTGGCTGAAGCTGTTGGAGCGGGTCCTGGGGCGCAGCGTCCCGGCCCTCCGCTCCTGCCTCTGCAGCTGCATCTCTGCCTTGTAGTTGTGGGCAATGCGGGACAGCACTCGGGCCTGGCCCAAGTTCGGCGCCACCGACTTGATGTCGTTCTCCTCCATCATGGCCAACAAGTTTGGGGAGTCAAAGCCCTGCTGCAGCAGGGCAGCGAAGGTGCTCTCCGAGACGCCCTCTGCCCGCAGCAGTGCCACGAACTCGGGGTCAAAGCTCCTCTTGCCCTCCGGCCCAGGGAAGGTGGGGGGCACCGGTGGGTGGGAAGGCGTCGCCACTGCCGCCTCGTAGCCGTCGTAGGGACCCTTGGTGCTGGTGCTCTCTCTGCCTGGCCCATAGCTGCTGCCAGTAGTGCTGGTGGGATCCACCACCAGGCAGGTGGGGGCAGCTTGCCTGGCCCCTGGTGCCTCGGGGGGCCGCTCTGTCCCATCAGTGTAGCCTGGTCTGCCGGGAAAGGCAGGCGGCTCTGCCGCGTAGCGCGGGCCGGGGGGCTCCGTGCCGTACCATGCCGGGGACACGTCCCTGCCGCGCATCCGCTGCCCATCCAGGGCCAGCTTGGGGTCCCTGTAGAGGCGGGTGGTGTCTGGTGGGGCTGGCGGGCGTGCCAGGGTCTGGTCCCAGGACAACCTGCTGCCAGGCGCCCCGTAGCTCGCCAGTGGCCTGCCCGCCACGTGGTCGCGGTAGCACCGGGGGTCCTTGGGTGACCTCGCCGACAGTGACGGGTCGCTGTAGTAATCCTGGGGCGGCAGAGAGCCCCGGCCCGCCATGGGCGCCGGCCGGTCGCAGTAGGTGAAGTCAGGCACGGAGCCTTTCCTCAGCGGCCCCGGGGCGAAGGCGGCATCCTGGTACGGGTACGCCTCCTGCTTCAGCTCCGCGCCGCCCTGCAAGATGATCTCGTTGGCCCGGGGTGGCTCGTACCATCCGCCCTCGCCGCCATAGGTCAGGGAGCTCCTCCGGCCCGGCAGCCTTTGGTACTCAAAGGCGTTCTCGCTCTCCCAGTTCCCCTCATACCAGCCAGCAGCATCCCAGCTCTGCGAGCGGCCGATGTTGGGGTGCTTGCTGGGGATGGGCATCGTCACGAGGCCGCTCGCTCCTGGTGACACAGAGAAGAGGAGGTGCCTTCCTTCCCAGTGCTTCTCCGGCACGCATCAACACCAGACTGTGCTCCGCCTGAGCCCTCCCGGGACTTCAGAAACCACCGGCGGGTGGTTTTGCCTTTCAGAGTGTTGCCTGAATTATTAATTCCTGGTAACCTTAGGAGGCAGAGCATGCAGCTGGGCCCCTTCCCGTGCGGTGCAGCCACGGAGGAGAGCGGCCGCGCTCAGCCCAGATGCTTTATCCTCTGCCGCTGGGGACGGCGTGCACATGGACAACTGGCCGAGCAGTGTGTGGGGATTAGGAGCTAAATAAAACCTCTAAAGCCCTCGCTCCATGTGACATCATTTTAGCCCGATGAAATCTCACGCACTGACCCAGCCAGCAACCTCAACGCAATTTTTCCCCAGGGAATGATTTTTTTTTTTTTTTTTAACTGTTGTTTTTTTTAACACGTGTTTCATGTGTTTCAGTTGTCTCCTTCCCAAGGTGCTCAGGGAGTCTACACCAGCTCCCACCAGGAACTGGCGGTGGGATAACGGAATGTGCCCATTTCCACTCATGCACACACACACATGCGCATGTAAAAATAAAAAAGAAAGCTTCAGTGTCAGCTCAATCTTAATCCAGCCTGATGAAATGCTAATCCACTGCACACAGCTAAGGACAAATTAAATGGGAGCCGGCAGACAGGCCTAAAAAAAGGCCAATGCAAGATATTCAAGACTGCAAGAGCAGTTAGAAATTAGTTAGGTGTCTGTTTAGCACTTTATGAATATTGTAATTTGCGCTGGAAATTACATTTTTTGTTGTATTTTCAAATTAGCCACACTAACTAGGCTCTGAAAGGATTCTTTATATTATTACCATAATACGCAAATCCCTTCATCATCCCAGGACAGAAAATTGTGGAGGTGTAATCTGGAATGTATAATTTTAAGACCCTAGCACAGGTCATGGAAAAGGAGGGGAGGATCAAAGGATCTAAAGCCCGGTCTTACAAAGCAGAAAGGAATAGCAGACTTTTGACTATTATCTCCAGCTTCCTTTGGAAAAACTACATGTTTATGAGATGGGAAAACACTCTGAAACATCAGACAAAACTCAATTTATATTGAACAGTATTTCAACATTCATATGGATTAAGCTTTTTTTACACTTAAGAGTGGGCAAAAGGATTTAGATGGAATCACACCAGAGAAAATTGTTATTTGGGAATGTAATAAAAATTTCCATATAGAGTCATTGTTTTCAGAGGAGATATTAAGATGGCTCCCCAAAACATGCAGTCTAAATTATGACATGCTGCTCATGTTCAAATATTCCTTTTCAAAGAAGAATAGGTCAACTGTTCCTTATTTTGCTGACCACTGTTAGAGAGGTAACATTTTTCTCCTTTAATTAAAAAATTCAGATGGAAATGATTTTGCCTTTCTCTGCTACGATCACAAATGTCTTCACCTCCAACACACCCCTTCTAGGAAGAGCCCAGGAAAAGGAGAAACAGTCACCTTCCCTGGTCTGTTTGCAAGACAGCTTGAGCATTTTTCCTGGCTAATCCACAATAAATGTTTAGTGCACAAGCCATCGCAGGATGGACTATTGTGCTATTATGATAGCTAAATCACTAATACAGTCTAATGCTTCTACTTGCCTATCATACTAATACCTCTGGGCTATATTTCTGACCCAAATACTGACAGGATCTTTGAGTAATCCCTAAATTTCTTTATTGCAGTGAGTATTACAAATCCTCTTCAAACATTCTCTCCTCCAATTCCATCCTCAAGAACCACAGTCGTGAAAACTGTGTTGGATATTACACAGACATGCAAAACACGGGCCCCAAAATATTATTTACGCAATTCTCAGAGAATATCTGATTGGCATTATATTGAATTAACTAACAAACTTCAGGCACATTGGAAAATTTCTTCTTTTGTGAGAGTCAAGATGAGAAGACACATTTGTGGCTTACAAATAAAGCAGAGAACACTTTAACCAACAAAATCCATTTTATTACAACAACATTTTGCTAAAGAATAAAATGTATTCCCAACAGGATACAGCGAGATCCGTGCCATTTGTTTGTTCTGAAGCAGCAGTATAAAGCTACCAAAAATGTATATGACAAAATAATAAAATCCTGGTCTATAGATCAAGGGCCTCTTCCACCATTGAAATCACTAATGAACACAGTCACCATGTTAAGCCCTGGTCGACAATGGAAAGAAACCATGCCATTGAGAAATGACATTTCAAAAATGCTGATCTTGAACAACTGCAAGGGAAGGGAGCTTGGAGAACTCACTACTTCTGAAAAAACCAAAAGCTTTGATAAGGGTCGCATGGCAGGCACACAACAGAAACCTCACCCAAACCAGCAGATCTGTAACTGCTGGCCGTGCCCTGCCCAGTGCACACATGGGGGACAGCAGGACCTGGAGACCCACCTCCAAACCCCATCCCAAGCACAGGAGCACATCTGGGCTCCGAAATCCACTTTGTACCAACCCATCCTTGCACCAGCCCACCCTTGCACGGGGCAACCTTGCAGCCCTTGGGCAGATGATGTGCTCCTCTCCCAGCTGCTTCTCAGAAGTCAGGAAACTCCAACTCCAGGCCTGCTGCTACAACAGCCATGCACACGGATGGTTTATCCCATATGTGCTGACCTCAGTGGAACAAACCAACTATTCCTGTGCTCCTAGACCAGCAGAGGCAAACACCTGCAGCACCAGGGGCTGCAGGATTTGTGCGTTTCCCTGCAGCCATGGAGCAGATGTCCTTCTTGGAGGGGTCTGCTGGCCCCAATTCTTGCTGCCCAAGAGCTGCCACCAACCCCACAGCCAGTGGGGAAGACCTGCCCAGGAGCCGTGGAGCTGGGCAGCCTCCCGAGCCACCACGGCAGCAAAGGAAATGCTATACCACCACTGAGCCAATAAATGTAAAAGAAATTATCAGAATGAAATATTTATGATGGGCAGGAATGGTCTTCTGTCTTTTTTTTGGGCAGTCTTAAAAGCAGCATCCAGACAAACTAAAGCAGTGTGAGCAGCAGGTTGAGGGAGGTGATTCTGCCCCTTTGCTCTGCTCAGGTGAGACCCCTCCTGCAGTGCTGCATCTGGCTCTGGGGACATAAACATAAGAAGGACGTGGACCTGCTGGAACAAGTCCAGAGGAGGCCATGAAGATGATTAGAGGGATGGAGCACCTCTCCCATAAGGAAAGGCTGAAAGAATTGAGATTGTACACCCTGGGGAAGAGAAGCTCCAAGGTGATCTTATCACAGCCATTTAGCACCTGAAGGGATTCCACAAGGGGGCTGGAGAGGGACTTTGGACAAGGGAGGAATGGTTTCACACTGACAGAGAGCAGGGTTAGATGGAATACTGGGAAGAAATCCTTCCCTGTGAGGGTGATGAGGCCGTGGTTGTGGCCACCCCTGGATTCCTGGAAGTGTTCAAGGCCAGGTTGGATGGGACTTGGAGCAACCTGGTCTAGTGGAAGGTGTCCCTGACCAAGGCAGAGGGTGGGATGAGATGGTCTTTAAGGTTCCTTCCAACCAAACCATTCTATGATTCTATGAATCTCCTGTGGCTCAGTACCTATTTCTGGGTCTGGATTCAGCAATGGCCAAGAGAGGATGCAGAGGTAGTACCTGGGCACAACCTGACATAACTGATCAGTGCTTCTTGGGAGTGGAGGAGGCACTGGCACCCACATCCTAGACATGAGGGGGAGACAAGGACTGTGGAACAGGCAGAAAATTTATTCTCCCTTTGTCTTTTAATTCTAGAGTTATTTGGAAAAAAAAAGCCAGAAAAAAAAAAACCAAAAGAAAAAAAAGCTGATCAAGAGATTAAATGCTCTGGTATTTCAGATCACGTGAAAATACAGAGTTTTGACTTAATATCCTGCTTTTCAGTTTAGCACTGATCTAACACATGGTAAATTTGGCTGTGATACAGTGACCACAGAAGTCTGCTCTGAAAATAAGGTGACAACAGAGTAAAGAAAGGTGGGTCCATCGTTTAGACACTGCACTCAAAGCCAATGGCATGAAATCTGACCCTGGAATCCACTCACAGTGGATGTGAAACAAGCAGTGCTGGGAGGTGCCATTCTCTTCCCACAAGGAGAGACTATTTACACACGAGAACCATAGTAAGAAATCAGGATGGTAAATCTGCAACACAACTGCATAAACAACATTTTTTGGTGTCTGTAGCACTGAGTCAAGAGAGGCTGGATGCAAAATTTCATTCACACTGATGTAAAACATTTCATTACCTATTCAGAAAGCAAGTTGCTGGAAAAATTACTCTGTGCAACAAAATAGAACAGACAAATACTCTTCAATTATAAATTTAAATCTTGTTTCTATCGGAAGAAAATATTTTTAATGTAGTAAAATGTTGATGTTTTCTCCCAAGCTATTTTTTTCTGGGAGAGAGTAGAATGGAAAGAATGTGCCAAATGTAATTTCTGACAAAAACTATAAGGTGCATCAGCATGGGAAAGGCTATTTCTCTTTCAAAGGCAAAGTATCCTGCCCCTGGTAGTGAAAAATCCTCTAGAGAACAAATACATCTCATGTTAATGGACAGAGCAGGTATCAGGACACCCAGCCTTTATACCTCGCTATGCCACTGTCACAGAGCAAATTGCTTAATTCCTTACTCTCCGATTCCCCTTCCATCAAGAGGGATATAATAATATACACCTATCACAGTCGGGTGGTGTTCAGATTAATCAGTGTTTGTCATGTGTTTTCAGGTGACAAGGCACAAAGCTACCAGGAGGATAAATGCTCCTGCCCTCACTGCCTGGGCTTTCAAGGACCGCGTGTGATTGTGCCTAATGACCCCCAAAAGCTTGGGAAGCCTTTCTTAAACATCCTCCTCCCACATTCAGCTTGCAGGATGCCAGGGAAATAGAAAAGAGCTGCTGGTGCTAAACTATACTGTGGTATTCC